CTATTGCTGTGTTTACATAAGTACCATAGTCTGAAAAAAGATTAAAATAGTCCATGAAGAATAACTTTCATTTTGAAATAAAAATATTACTTGCCAAAACATATAAAAATGTGAGCATTTTCCCCTACCCATGATTAGATTAAACGTAGTAATGTAATTTTGTTTCAAATAATTATTTGACTGAATTAAATTTCAAATTCTCCTTAGATTAACAGGAAATAGTAAGTTACCATTCCAAACATCTGTCTCATCTCAACTATCATCTTACTCTTTCAAAAGTGAAATATCAAAATATTTACAGAAAGATAGCATCACTGTAGTGGCATTGAGCCCCCAAAAGTATATTTATTACACCTATTATTGTAAGTCTGTTAATTTTCCACAATGAAAGTACTACCCTTAGGTTTTTAACTGTATCCCTAAACATCTTGTTGGCATGTAGAGTTTCAATTATTTACTTTATGCTTTTGAGCAAATGTTTGAGCTCCTAGGAAAAGGGCAGACTCCTATTAATTAACCAGTTATTGAATTTCTTTTTTTTGTTTTTTTTTCCGGTACCAGGAATCGAACTCATGACGTTGCACTTGCCAGGCAAGCGCTGTGCCGCTGAGTTAAATCCCCAGCCCCTGAATTTCTGTTGTCATGTTCTTTTTTAAAAAATTTCCCCCTCAATAACTTCTGATGTAGGTCAAGAAGTTTCAGAATTCAGAGATTACATCTTTTTTTTTTCTATTTGTTTTTCACCTAGAATTTCCTAGAGAATTGGAAGCTCAATAATACTTTAAAGAATGTAGAGAATGAAATGTCCATATGCAAACTGTTTTTATGAGTTATCACCTGAAAAGGCCTTATTTTCCTCTAGCCCATGCTGTTTTATTAAGTACACCCAATTTTCATTCCCCACTTTTCTGACAAATTATCAGTAGAGAGATCATCAGCATCATTACTTTGCAATGCTCTTACTACCATAAATGTTTGACCTTTATTGAAAGTTATGGGCCAGCAATATGTATTACTGTATATCATTTCATCTTCACAATTCTATTATCATGTCCATTTAATTACTGAGGAAACAGAAGGGTTAATTAATTTGTTCAAGGTCACACGCACAGTGAATACACATTATCTTTTATTTCACTCCTTACATGCTGTGTTTGTAGCATATACGTTAAATGAATCAAGGCAATCTTAACAATTCTCAGGGGCAGAGACTGAGGCTTCTACTGTTTTCTGTTTTGGCATTAAAATCCCAGTACAATTCTGGGCTTGAGAGAAATGCCTGGCAGGGAAAAAGAGCAATGAAGGAATGACATTGCCTGGGGATGGTGGCTGATGAGGACTGAATGAACACAAAAATGTGCTCAGCTTTAAGAATTTATTCTCTGATGTTTTGAATGCCTTTTACTAGTCATTTTTTTTTTTAGCAAAGATTTCTCCTTGAATCTTTTCTCCTAGTGATTACCAATGAAAATCCACAGATTTTGTGAAACTATAATTGTTCTACTGCTTTAATATCTGATGATTAGGGAGAAATACAACTTAGAACAGTATTTTTAGTTTAAAATAGACTAGCCTAGTTCTAATTACTTGAGAAAAAAAGGCAAGACTTTATTTTATTTTATTTTATTTTTATTTTAGAAATTAAAGGAGGAAAATACTAACAGACCGACAACATTTTACAAAATAGCATAGGATCAGTACAGACATTACAGAGTTACAAACAGAGTGGTAGGGAATTAACAATGCTTATTGTATTACATATTGATATCTTCAATGTAGTTTCTCATGAAAACACATATAGACATACAAAGCTAATCAACCAATGCCTCACTGACAGTTTCTTTCAGCAAGGAAATACAGGACAATAGAACACCCGTGTTAACTATCCTGCATATACATATATACAAACTTGCGAGACTTTATTTTAATAGGAATTTTTAGAGATCACTTTTAAAATTTGCTAAGTAAATTTCCTACTACTTACCATGTATCTTTTTTTTTCTTTTTTCTTTTTTTGTTTTGCAGTACCGGGGATGGAACTCACCACCTTGCACTTGCCAAGCAGGCGCTTATGCCACTGAGCTATATTCCCAGCCTCTCATGTAAGTTCTTTCCTCCTTAAAAAAACACCCTGTCTTGGAGATGATGGCTAAACATGTTACAGAGAAGCTCCAAATATTACTAATATAAACTTTAAGGCTCACAGAAAAATTTCAGCTTAACATCTTTCTGTCCTATATATTGGGAGAAGAACTACATTGAAATGCTGGGCTTGTTTCAAATTTCCTGCGAAATGTTAAAAGTATTTATCTTTCATAAAGTATTTTGGAGACATTTCATATGATGGATGATATATCATACCCTGAATCCATAATCTAATAAAATCATGCTTACATCTAGCAAATTCAAAGAAGAAATAATAGCTGAATGACTGGAATTTTTATTTCAAATGATGTCATCAAACATATTCACTATAAAGCTAACTTTTCTTTTGGTCAACTTCAGAGGACTTGAAGAATGTGAGCTTGAGTTTTTAACCAGGAGTTTTGGTCTGTACTGCAGTTTCAGGACTACCTGGAGATTTTTATTTTTAAGAGGTAAACTTTGAAAATGGGCAAGTTATGAATACATGGAAACACAAAGTCATTCTGTTTTTATTAGATATCACAAGATTATTAGTTCAAGGAAGAATCAGACATAATTATCTATTAGTCATTTGCAAGTTATAGCACTCATGGTGCTGCATGCCCTTTGACAGTTTTCTTCCTAGCTTTCTTCAGAGGGCCTAACCACTTGTTCTAAATGGTAAGAAGTGAAATGTTTGATGCATCGTGTATATTTCTGAGTATGTTCTTCTTAGGAATTTAAAAAACTTGGATAAAAATGCTGCATTATAGCATATTAAGTAGAATAGCAAATACTGAAGCTCATGACTATGAACTCCAGATTTAAAGCATTTTTAGCTTCCTTGAAATACAGAAATAAATTTCTCAGTTATTAAAACATTTTGGATCCAATAGATAAAAATACAATTGCTGCAGACTTACTGACTTGTTTGTATTTTTCATATTTACATGTGCTCTCAGACCCAACTCTTATTCAAATAGGTTGACATGTTTATATTTGCTTTTAAAATGTAAATTTCTTTTATGTTCTTTGTAGTATTATTGACTCTATTTTCGAAGTTTTATGTTTGGAGAGTTCAGAGTTTAAATATTTTCCCATTACAGCTTTTTGAGCATGCATCTGTATTTTAATAAACTATTTAGTTCTATTTTGGTGAAGAGATTTTAAAAGAGGAGTCAATACCTTTACCATTTGTAGAAGGAACCTGCAGTGTGTGCAGTCAGTCCCGCCACGTGTACTTGCCTCTTTCTTTGGATGCCATGAATCTTCCTAAATGGCAGCTTCATCACTGTGTTGCACTGAAATCGTATGTGGGAGCTGTGCCCAGCTTAGCCATCTCCAGACACGCTGCCTGGACTGCACTTACTGGCCCAAATGGCTTTTCTTTGACGCTTTGGCGATTGCTCTTTTGTTTGGCCTAGAAAAATTCCAAAGTATGAAATTCAAAGTTCAAGTCTGAACACAGTATCGAGGCTACTGCACTCTGTAGTGAAGCTCTGCATGTTATCCAGAGTCAGCTGCTTTGGGACTGCATTCTGCACTCTCTCTCACTTCAAGCATATCATCAGAATCCATAAATAGAACTTGTTGGGTTAATGTTTTTCCTAGTTGATTAGGAAGCCCATTCTTTATCTATGTTCAGAAGGGATTTCATTTGGTTTTCTTGATGAAAAGAAAACCAGATGAGAACAAACCCATGGAGGCTTCTTTATTTTCAATGTTAAATGTTATCATTTGAGAGATGAAACACTCCCCCTCGTAAAAAGTAAATGCGTACCAATGTGTGAATTTGAAAGGGCAGGCTATGGGAGCAGAAAACGAATAGGGGCAAAAACATTGCACAGGTTTTTTACCTATAGAGCCTTTCCAGATCTTGTGAAGCATAGGTAGTGTAAGTTTTTGGAAAGGAGCTAGACCATGTAACGTTGATATACAAGGCTAAGAGAAGAAGAGGACACTGAAAGAAGTGGTTAAAGAAAAATTTTTAAAACTCCGTGCTTTTTTTCTTCTTAAATAACACTTCTCCTTTTTCTTAATATTTTGGATTCCCTCAGCATCTCCTTAATTTCCACGTTTCTAGATGCGCTGTAAAGCATTTGCCAGAAGGTGGCGGCATAAGCCCTCACTGCTAAGAGCTGTCCTCGGTGCTGAACCCAGTTTTGAAGATTAGGTGAAGCTCATAGGCTAGCGAGGAGGGATTCCACCAAGTTCTACCTAAAGGTTTGCAGATTTGCATGTCCGGTAAGACATGTAAAGGTTCACATAAAATTCAGGACTCCTTTACAACACAGAGCCTAAATATTTTCTTCCTTTAATTTACTCTCCGTAAGGCTATAGAGGGTGGCAATGTTCGCTGAAATTAAGAATAGTGGTGACTGAAAAGTGTGTGTGTACGCAGAATATATATAAAATTTTCCTCACTCTGACATTCAGCTGTTTCCCCATCTTTGTCCTTTAACACATCCTTTACGCTCTGCTCCAATTCCCAAGGGTTTTTTTCTTTAATTTCTAAGTCATAGGCAACATCTTCTCCAAAGGAGTCAGGTTGGACTGTTAGATAATGGATGGGGGTGATTTCAAAAGCTAGGGCACACTCCATCTTCTTTCCATCAATTAACAATAATTTGTAGGCTGACCCAGAGCTGTCCACCTTCCCGTTCAGACCCCATGTGTGTTTTTTCTCCTTTGCTATCACTAAAGGGGATGCTGGGATGCTGACTTTCAGAATTTGACAGAAATACAGGCAGTGGGTAGTTAGGAACGGTATTTTTTTTCCTCCTTCGAGTTTGGCTGGTGGGGAGGCGGAGTTTATTTGTTACAACGTTAGTCTGGTCAGCGGATCCGGTCTGTGCAAGCGAATTCTGAGTCTCGGTCCACAAAAAGGGACTTGAATGTAAAGACCCTGAGCCAGAAGGAGAGGAAGACGGGGATCCAGGGGAAAGACACACTCAAGGTTGAGGAAGAGTTAGGAGGGAGGGCTTGCGCGGGAGGGAGGGAGACCGCTGGAGCAACACGCAGAGGAGTAAAGATAGGGAGGTGCAAAGGGAAGGCTAGTGGGACGAAGCCGAGAGGAAGAGGCTGAAGAGAGACAGAAGAGACAGTGGGAGAGAGGGAGGAAAGGAAGGAGCGGGGAGAAAAGGGTCACAGAGTGACCTCGGAGGATGGGATGTCTCTATTCCAGATAATTCTGGGATTGGAGACTGTCTGCTAGTGAGGAGACTCCGGCTTCAGCAGCCAGTTGGACAGCAACAAAGTAACATGGACAGCAGGAGACAGACATTCCAGCTACCTCTCCGCCACCCAGAGATCCGGGAGCTGCTCTCAGGCCAACTTCAGTTTTCCAGCTGGAGTCTCTGAGCACCCTGGACCGCGGGAGCCGCAGAGCGCCTAGAAGCTACTCCTCTGAGACGCACGCACCGCAGCAGTAAGAACTTCCTGCTTGAGTTCCCGCATCCCCGTCCTCTGAAATTCCCGGGAGTAGGGGCGGAAGACCCCGGGGGAGGGGCGAGACCGACTCTCCTGCAGCCCTTTCTCCCCTCCCTCCTCCGCCCCACCCCTCCGGGCGCACAGGCAGGCATGGATGTGCTCAGCCCTGGCCAGGGCAACAACACCACGTCCCAAGGACCCTTTGGGACAAGAGCCAACGTTACTGGAATCTCTGACGTGACCTTCAGCTACCAAGTAATCACCTCCCTGCTGCTAGGCACTCTCATTTTCTGCGCGGTGCTGGGCAATGCGTGCGTGGTAGCTGCCATCGCCCTGGAACGCTCCCTCCAGAACGTTGCCAACTATCTCATCGGGTCCTTGGCGGTCACTGACCTCATGGTGTCAGTGCTGGTGCTGCCCATGGCAGCGCTGTACCAGGTGCTCAACAAGTGGACTCTGGGTCAGGTCACCTGCGAACTATTTATCGCTTTGGACGTGCTGTGCTGCACCTCGTCCATCCTGCACTTGTGTGCCATCGCTCTGGACAGGTACTGGGCCATCACGGACCCCATCGACTACGTGAACAAGAGGACGCCCCGGCGCGCCGCTGCGCTCATCTCGCTCACTTGGCTTATTGGCTTCCTCATCTCCATCCCGCCCATGCTGGGCTGGCGCACCCCTGAAGACCGCTCGGACCCCGACGCGTGCACCATCAGCAAAGACCATGGCTACACTATCTACTCCACTTTCGGCGCTTTCTACATCCCTCTGCTGCTCATGCTAGTTCTCTACGGGCGCATTTTCCGAGCCGCGCGCTTCCGCATTCGCAAGACGGTCAAGAAGGTGGAGAAGAAGGGAACAGACACCCGTCTCGGAACTTCGCCGGCTCCGCAATCCAGAAAGAGCGCGAATGGGCAGCCTGGGGACAGAGACTGGGGGCGGGGCGCGGAGAACAAGGCGAAGGGGGCTTCTTGCGCCAACGGCGCCGTGAGGCTGGGCGACGACGGCGCCACCTTGGAGGTGATCGAGGTGCACCTCGTGGGCAACTCCAAAGAGCACCTGCCTTTACCCAGCGAGGCCGGTGCTGCCCCCGGAGTCCCGGCCTCCTTTGAAAGGAAAAATGAGCGCAACGCCGAGGCGAAGCGCAAGATGGCTTTGGCCCGCGAGAGGAAGACGGTGAAGACGCTGGGCATCATCATGGGCACCTTCATCCTCTGCTGGCTGCCCTTTTTCATCGTGGCCCTGGTCCTGCCCTTCTGCGAGAGCAGCTGCCACATGCCCACACTGCTGGGTGCCATCATCAACTGGCTGGGCTATTCCAACTCCCTGCTAAACCCGGTCATCTATGCCTACTTCAATAAGGACTTCCAAAACGCGTTTAAGAAGATCATCAAGTGCAAGTTCTGCCGCCGATGATGGCGATGAAAAGCCGGAGAGGAAGGCCGCGGACCGGCTCCCTCGCTCTGCCTCCCTCAGCACCCTGGTATCCACACCTGAGATGACTTGCTCCCGTCCTCTGACTTGTTTCAGCTTCCGCGCCCCGGATTTCCCAACCTCGCCGCTCCTGCTTCAGCGCCAGAGGAGGGCGCCCTGCGGGGGCTCCAGCTGTGTGACCCCAGCGCCCGGGCCATTCCCGGGTCGGTGAAAAGCTACAGGGTCTTAACTTTGACCTACGCATCCGTTTTGATCCCATTATTCACCTCCTCTTTCTTCTCTCCCCCAAGCCTTCGCGGTGGAAGTTTAAGCCTCAGCTGTTCAAGGCAGAAAATCCACACAGGAAAAAAAAAAAAAAAATGCGCACAGCTGCGGCGCCCACTAAGGGCGTCCACCCGCCTACCCCACCTCTAGAACTTGGACGTTGAGGGTTTAGGACATTATCTCGTTTCTTTTGCCCTCTTACCTAGAAACGCCACTGTCTCCTGGTTTCATCGCCTCTTTCCTCTCCCTGCTTGCCTCTCTGCCCTCCCCACCCTGAGCGCTCCTCGCCGTTCTGGGAATGAGGTAGAGCCTGCTGTTCCCTAGGCCAGGGGCTACTTCTTGCGCACACTCGCAGAGTAAGGCTCCTGCGCGCAGTCCCGCTTGCCCTGCTTTCTAGGACTCAGAAAAGTGGCTGGAAGGTGTCTGAGAGTGGACTTGTAAGTACAAAGCCGGGCCAGTGGGGGAGAGCGAGGAGAGTGCGGTCCTTGGTGTCAGCACTCACCAAAGATACTGGCCATCAGGGCAACGGTGGACTTCTGTTTCTTAGGTCACGGGCGTCTTCACTTCCTGGCATTGCCCCTTATCTCCTGCGGGAGGCGCCCGCCGGCCATGGAGTGGGTGCTGGGAACTCCAGGCCTGCGGTCTGCGAGTCACCCGAGAAAGTCCAGGGACAGGGTCCTCTGTGCAAACTCCGGGACCTGTAAAGAGCGGGAAGTCAAATTAGGGTTCCTCAATGAAGGGAACACCAGGTCCTGCGAGCTCCTGGTAACCGGGGAGACCCAGAAACGCGGAGCGAGGCGGTGGGGGGGAGGCGAAGAGCAGACTCCCCGGCTCTCCTCCAGGAAACCGAGAGGGCGGTTTTATGCACCGAATGCAGACTTTTCACTTTTTCGTCCCGTCCCAATGGGAACAGCTCTGTTTAGTGTTGTCCTGATACTGCACTGGATTTGTTCTACAGGACGTTTCTGCTCACAAAGTTAGCAGAGAGTCCTTTTCCAAGTAGGGATTCTGGCCTTTCAGTGGAATGGCTACTACGCAGCGGGCGCGCTCTCTGAGCTCAGCGGCTGAGACCTTCAATAGTGGGGCCCCAAGGGCTGGTTAGGTGCCTGCTCCCTCTTCTGGAGTCTCTGAGAATCTTGTAGGGGATTGTATTTGCTCCCACATCTGGAGGTTCTGTACCCTGAGTCTCCCCCAGGCCTCCACGAGGAAACCAGCTTTGTGCCCTTTGAATTCGTGGAACACCCCAAGCTTTCTGTCTCTCAGAAGTTACTCTTTCAGAGTCATCATTCCTGCTGAGCTAGTATAATCTTTGCTGTGCCCGGGAAGGAAAGTTATTTTGGTGCTCAGTTTGAATGTAAATCTCCAACCACATGAAGGGAGATCAAGAGGTTTGTCACAGTTAGAACTTACCCTTTAACTCTTTAAGGAGCAATGGTTTTATTCTCCAGTAATTACACAGTTACTGAGTCTTACTCTCTTCTCCCTTCAACCATGCCTTTCCAATGTTTGCATCTGCTGTTTTGAGAACATGCTGCGTTTTTACAGATTGCAAAATTGCCAGTGAAATATTCACTTGTTAATAAATAAGGTGAAAGGACAGCTCTATCACTTGAAGCCATTGTATCGTTTTTCAAACTTAACAAAGCCTCCATTTTGATGCCTTTTTCTCTGAACCTCTAGTATTTATCAAATCTTGTTTAAATAAAGGTTAGGAACTTTCAGAATGGCTTGATTATGCACCTATAATGTCACTGGGGTTTCTGACAGAGAGCAGAAGGCAGACTTCTGCAACTGTTATTTGTTTAAAAATTTAATTTCCTTCGTCTCTCAATAATCGAAAGCAGAAGCATATGAGAAAATGAAGGTTTCTGTATGTTTTACTGGATTTTTGGAATAAATTCCATATTTAAATTGATCCAAACCTCAAATTTTCTTCTCCAAATTATGCTTTGGCCAGCAAATATTGCATTTGAAATTTTGAGACTTCTATTTATTTGTGTCTTTTACAGGATTGTATGGCCATAATTTTGGTGCATTTGTTCCTGTTTTGGAGGCTTTACACAAGAAAGGAGAAAGAATATCCAATTGGATTGTAATTGCCAAGCAATAGAGAAATTAGAGAAATAAGTGCAAAAGAGCTACAAGCTCTAAAAAAAAAAACCCTAGTTGCTCTTTTTTCTTTTAAAATAGTTGTATTAAGGTAAAGTATTTATGCATCAAAATTGGTCTTCATTTTTCCCTGTAACAATAAAAGACTTTATTAATGGCAATGCTACAATAAACTGGTATCAGTAACATATGCATCTTTAATTGGAATCTGTCTATTTGTATTTATTCGTAAAACTTAAGTAGAGGTAAAAGTGCAATTATTAAGAGAAGATCCTGCTGTTTAGGTAAGGGATATGGCACTTAGAGAAGTATTTAGTTTTCAGTACCAAAACTCATTCTAGATGAGTGGTTTCTTTGAAAATTCTGTTTTGGGCAAGAAAATGTCACATCTCCTGGGTTAGGCACAAGACATGCATTTTCCCTGGCTGATTCCTGCAGATAAGCTTTAGACATCTGTCTAATTAATCTGGACAGGGTAGAGAACATATAGAGGGGAAATGCAGCCTCTAACAGAAGCAAAAGGGGCCCATCCTGCATTTTTAAAGCAGCAATACAGTGCTGAGACCCTCATCTGTCTTTCCTATAACACACAATTAAAAGAAAATTTTCTCCTCTAGTTTCCAAAGAAGTAGCTCATTGTTTGGGGAGTTGTCACCTCACATGGAAGCAGAGGGGGCATTTTCTTTTCTGGCTAGAACTCACTTGTGAGTGAGGTTTGGATGTAAGACTTACTAATATGTTAAAGATAATTTTTCTGCTTTTCTTTTTCTCCCTACTGGGACCATCAGTAACATCGCTTGTTTCTGTTGTTGTATTTGTTGATCTTCCTGCTTTATAGTGTCATATGACTTCTGCTGAGTAAGGAAAGCTCTGTTAAATTTCAAGGGTAAACAAAGGTCAAGGCTATAATGGCTGCAACAGAAAGCACCCAAAGGCTATGTGAAGCCTGGTTCATGCATTGTGTGTGTATACACATTGTGTGTACATACACTATCTGGATTTCTCATTTGAAAAATGTTATATAAGTTCATCTCTGGCCTGGAATAAAATGCTAAGTCTGGCACACTCCTGTCTGAGATTGTAGATATTCCCTTCTTGACTCTTATTCTCTCATCTGGTCTCTCCTCCATGTAAATAATGGCTTTCTGTTTTCTATAGGCTTTCCTGAAGCCTCTTGACAGAGACCACAGCTAAGACAGGCACTTGTTGTAATCACTTCTAGTGTGACTAACAAGCCCACTAACCCATTAGTATTGATCAAGTGGTAACTACTCCTTGATAATGTTGAAACATGGAACTACAAATTCATTCAAGCTACTGTTACCACAAGGAAGTTTTCAATGCAGGAATAAACTGTTAAGGCTAAGGCTAAATAACTATTCCTAGTAGCATAGAAGTGGCATAAACAAGATGAAGCATAGGAGTCTGGCTCTACAATCATTCAGAGGGTTAAGATCAATGTGGATTTGGTGAATAGGTTAAGAAAGGCAGAGAAGGCTGTATGAAGGATCCAGGATTCAGTTCTTGATAGATGGGGGTGGTATGGAAAGGTAGATATTTTTAAGAGGTGATAAAATCCTTCCTGATAAATAGTGGATTGGGATTTAATTTTTGTCTGGATTTCTAGATATTGATGAACACTCAGAGTTGATTATGAGGTGATGTTCAAAGAGAAAGATGCAGGCTTGAAATCTCCCATGTGGTGGGTCAACTTGGAGGAATTAGGATGGGGGAGAGACAGACAGAGAGAAAGAGAGAGAGAGAGAGAGAGAGAGAGAGAGAGAGAGAAATGGACTGAGCCAAAGAAAGTGATAGAGTGAAGATTGGGGACACTAGATAAAGGGAAGAACTTTCTAACAGAGAGCAAAAAAAGTGACACCAGAGACAAAACAATTCACCCTTATGTAATGTTTGAGGTTTTGCCAAGTAATTTTCATACATAATCTACCACTTAAATTTGAGGTAGTAGATCCTTCTAGAAATGCCAGTTAGGGCCTTTTTGCTAAGCCGGAAGATTTACATAGTAGTAAATACAGGGAAAGAAGATAGAGATCATATGTGGAGCCACTTAGATATCAGGTTATAGCTGTAGTCAGTGGGACCACTAAGAATGAAAGTAGAAGCACTCTGGAGGTAATTTCAATGGTGCATATGTGAAGCAATAAAGCACCAAGTGTGGTAGGCTGGCAGAAGAAATAAAAATGAGTACAACCAAAAAGTACATAAAAAGGAACTGGCAGGACTTGGTTTCTGCTGGTGAAGAGAGAGAAAGATGAAGAACCTTAGGTCTGTGCCAGGGAGATCTGAATGAATGAAAGAGAAGAGAAAATCAAGGGTTGCTTGCTATGGTCTGCTTTTCTAGCTTCATCTGTAAATGTGAAAGTGCTTTAGCCTCTGTGAAAAGCAAATCCAGCCCAGATGGCAGGGGCCTGCTGGTGAGGGTATTGATTCATGTCACAACATTTGAGCAATCTGCCATTTGGGTGAGTGTGTGTGAGGAAAGCTACTTTGCAGAGCAGTAGTTGGATCAATTCCCTGATTATTTTGTAACAGTTTTTCCCTATTAGAACATGCTAGTCATTTTGTGAAGAAGTAACAATTCCAAAGGACACAAGTCTTTCAGGAATAGGAGCCCAAAAATACTACTTGTAGTATGTTAAGAATGACACTTGAAGCTTAAAAGTTGGGTGTCCCCAAATGGCCAGGGGGAGAGCAGAGTAAACCAGTTTGTTTTTACAGTTCACTGGTCCAGGGCCATAGAAAACCTATTTGATCCTTACACAGGCTATTCTTGGAAAGTCTAGATCCATGACTGTCTTTGTTTGGGCTGCTCTAACAAAATAGCATCAATGGAGTAGTTTATGAATAGTAGCAAGTGTATTGCTCACGGTACTAGAGGCTTGGAATTTCAAGGTTCCACAGGTACAATGTCTGGTGAAGTCTTGCTTTCTTGCTCATATATGGACATCTTTTTGCCATAATCTTACATAACAGAAGGGACAGGGGAACTCTCTGGGACCTCTTTCATAAGGGCTACAATCCTATTCATAAAGGCTTTGCTGTCATGACCTTATCATCTCTGAAAGTCCCCCACCCCTGATAATACCATCACCTAGGTGATTAGCTTTCAACAGTTGAATATGGGGGGATGCAAACTTTCAGACCACAGCCATGATGCTAAAGTATTCAGTGAATTTCTTCTATTTTCCTATGTTCTTTCTTTATACAACAATGGTAAGAATGGGGAACTAAGTCAACAGATATTTCAATATCTAAGGTTATCACAGACATTTCCATACCACTTGTACGTAACCCTAGTCAAATGACCAGCCTTTTAAGAAGTTCCCAGGCCAAGATTTTAAGGTGCTATCTTGCATTCATAAGTGGCTGTTCTATCCTATCTAGGCTGGTTTTATTCTTGACAACAGAACCTTCCCCCGCCAAACAAAACCCCCAGAAAATAAAAAACAACCCCAGGCTGCCTAGGGGCAGAAAAGAAAGGAAAGGAAGGAAAATGTAATGAGACTCACCTGTCTTGTTACACAGCTTTGAAAATTTGTGGGAGGTTGTTGTGAAACTTCTTCAGGGTCTTGAAAGGGGAAACACTCTATGAAATACAGTGCACTTCATAGTCTCTGAGAATAGTTTCAGTACAAGAACTAAAGACAAGAAATAAGTAATCTGAGTTTTGCCTAAAAGGATATAGAATGCTAACTGCAAATGTTTACCAAAAATGCAATTTGTTGTAAGTATCTGCTATAATTATTTACATCAGAGGAGGGAGCGGTTTAACTCAGAAGTATTGGAAAAATGATCCATCCATTCATTCTTTCAACTAATAATTATGAATCATCTACAGGCAAGGCACTATTTTACTTCCTCTGCTTATAGCAGTGACACATTAGATGAAGTTTTTCTTGTACACTGTGTGCAAAACAAATGGCTCTTATGATTCCCTTCTATGTGTCTACTTCTTTTGCAGTGCAATTTTCAGCTTCTTCCCTTAAGACTTAGGGGATGTTTTGTATACCCTGAACCTGAGCTGACCTTGTGACTTGCCTTGGGGAAGCACTGGTGTGATACTAGTTCTGATCATGGAACTCAAGAGGCGTGCACTCTCGCACTTAATCTTTTAGAACCGTGAACAAGATTGTGCTCACTTGCCAAAGCCTGGGAGTCCAGATAGAACAAGGAACATCCTATTTGAGATCATCTTGGACCAGTTATATTCCAGCTGTCTGAGCAGCTGACTGCAGATATGGTGGGAGCACAGCCAAGATCAGAAGAATCTCCCAGGTTCATTCAATCCAAATTGAAAACTTAAAGTGTTGTTATTATAAAGCACTAAACTTTGGGGTAACTCAGCATACTGAAAAAGGTAATGAATACAGTCTCATTATCTTAAGGAATTTATACTCAAGAGAAGAGAGAGAAAGCAAACAATAAAGCAAATTAGACAGAGAGATAATAGATGATAATCTGGTAAAGAATTTAACTGGAAGAAAATATATAGGGGTGCTGACATGGGGAAAAAGTAGATTGCTATATTTTGTAGATGTTCAGGGGACACCATGAAAACAGTATCAGAGGTGTGATTTTGAGGCTTGTTAAAAACTGAGCACTTCAATAAATAAATCCTATGATATTTTATGCAATTTACCCATGAAAACTATAATGGGTTTTATTTTCAATAGGAAAAACCAAGAAATTGCAGAGTTGGTCATTTGTATACTCAAATTCTAAGTGTTTCTCATTTCCAACTAGGAGGCTTATTTATATAGAAAATCTTTGCATTCAGCCTATTCAAAATAATGCTCAACTAGGTCATGGGAAGTCCTGAAGAGACCTTATCAAATTGCAAGTGAAACTCTGACATATATCCATGAAACTTTGGCACATTCCTCTACATAGTAGAAAAAACTGTCTTAGCAAATCAGGTGACCTGAATTTAAATTCCTACTATGTTTAACATTGCCATCTTTGTATATTGTACAGTTTAAAATAGCTTGGTCTAGTTAATTCACACAAATTAAGCTATGTGAAGTATGATCCAAAAGTTTTCAGTATATTCATAGAACTGTGTAGTTTTTGTTACAATCAATTTTCACTTTCATCTGCTCTAAGAAAACATTATATATTAGCAATCCCTGAACTCTGGGAAAAGACTAATGTACTATCTGTCCCTA